AAAGTTATTTGAGTTGAGTAATTAAAACCAAAACTTGTGCTCCTCACACTCCAGACTCCATTCTTCCAGGCACGCATCCAATCGAGCCCCAAGAGAACTTGCTCCCGTGCCAAGCTTCCTCATTCCAGGATAGGTACCTTGGGAGCGCATCTCAGTATCACTCGCTTCCTCTTCCACTTCCAACCAGATACCCAGTGCTATTGATTCAAAATTTCTGAAATCACATCCACTTCTTTCTACCCTAGTTCGAGCCATCCCTCTGCTAGATGACTACAACAGCATCCTAATTGGGCGAGTCTTTCCCAAGCTTTCCTCCTCCCAATACACTTTCCAATGGTGATCTTTTTGTCAGTGTAAACTGGATATTATTCATGCTTAAAATACTTGAGGAGCTTCCAGTTCCATTCAGAATATTACCCCCTTCTTCCGATTTCAAGGCTGTGAGAGGATCTGCCTCAGTCTCTAAGCTCATCTCCCACCATGGTCCCTGAGCCCCACCCTGCAGCCTAGCAGCTTCCTCTCTCTCCTTAAATGCAGCGTACACTTCCTGCCTCAGGAACTCAGCTCACCATTTTCACTCAGCCTGACAGCCCTTCCTGAGCTCTTGGCCCAACTGTTCTCTTCTCATTTTCCAGGTCCAACTTAAAATAATTTCCTTGGGGAGATCCCCCCCAATCTAAAGTCCCCACTTGTCACTATCCCCACAGTCCTTATTTCTTTTGCTTTGTAGCATTTACTACAATGTGTGATTATATACCTACTTGACCCCGTGCCCACAGCCTATCTCCCCACTCGACTGTCAGTTTATTTTATTCATCATGATGTCCCTGGTGTCTTGCATGGAACCTGACCTATTAAAGAGCACAGCATATTTTTGTTGAACAAATGAATAAAGAGATTACTAAGACTTGTCCAATAGGCTGCTGTTGTGCAATTGAGTCCCCACAGAGAATTGACTGCACTTCACTTGTCCTAGTGTACCCACTGAAATAGTACTTCCTGGAAGATCATGAGCTGAGGCTGAAGGTCCAAATTTAAAACCCTGAATTTGGCACTATCCTATTTACTATTTTCAGCTTTATGGCAAATATGATGGAATTAATATCTGCCCCCAGAGAACTTACAGACTCACCAGAAGAATAGAAGTATATCTGAAACAGTGGGAGAATAATTTAGAGAGAAATACATTCCAATGTCAAAATGATGCAGCAGACAGTACGTAACCTCAAATTAAAGGCAGGAATCATGGTGAAAGCTGGGGCAGATGAAGACTTCATGAAGGGAGATCTGAAATGGACCTTGAGGAATTAAGTTTTGCAGGGAAAAAGGGAGGAGTATCACATATAGGACACAAGAGAGCTAATGCATGAAGGAGGGAATAAAGGCAAAGCCTGCTGAGAAGCAAAGGCTGACATAGAGCGCTCTACCCTGTCTTTCAGGTGACGATTACAGAAAGAGCAGTTTCATAAGGAAGACCCACCAGGATTTTTGCTTTTGCTTTTTAACACTGTAATAAGTAAATAGCAACAGAATATTCTTTGTGTTTTCCTACACCAATTTAAAAACTCAAATGTACAATAATTTATTGGCCAAGAATTCTTCTTGTATTTCAACTCAAAGAGGAAACCTTTAATCTTCAAAGATATAAAAACCCAAAAAGAAAAAATGAGCAATACTGGATGCAAGTGAATGGAAGAGTATTTGCCCCAGGCAGTGGGGCAAAGGTCCAAAAATATGATTTAGAAAAAGGTGCCAATCTTGGGACACTACATTATGTCAAGACTGTGCACTGACCACCGCAAACAGGGCAGCACCTAAATCCTTTCCAGGGTAGCTTCATTCTTTGAAAACAGATAACAATTTTGGATTAGAAAATATATTAATTCATGTTCAGAAAACACAGTTGATTCATTTCTGTTTTATGAACATTTTAGGAATGTAAAAGAGAAAATTTGTCTCTTTTTTCAAATCAATATAAACTAATTCTGCTTAAGCACCCCTTTTTAAATGGGCTTTTAGTCTCATTGCACATTCTTGTTTTTATATTGCATCTTTTCTCCCAGGCACGTTTGTCTCTGGAACATTGCTTTGGGGAGCATAGGTGTCAGCAATATCTCATTCTATTTTGAGCTCAGGAAGAAGCACATAAAATACAAGTAGAAACAGGAAAAAGGAAAATGAATAAAATGTCTGCTGCAATATATTTAGGTGCAAATCTTAGTACTGTTTTAAATTAACCTGTAATTAGGCTACGACACCTGATTCAGAAGAAATTCACCTGAAAGAGTAGAGGCTGGGAAGGCACCAGCACTTACTGTATATTTATGGAGAGAGATCTTGCTGGAGGCTATGTATATACAGGCTTCTTTGCAAAGGCACTTACAACCACAGTATAATGAAACAGAAACAGTTGTTTATTTGACATGGAAGATGAGGTGATACAGTATTCTATAGCTTCTACAGGAATTAATTATTTGAAGCCATAATTCCCCAGTACTTTAAACAAGACACTTGTTTTTTCTTAAATGAACAGACCAGTAGGATCTCAGAAATTCCTTAGTCAAAGCCCCATCCCTTTGAGCCATAGGCCTCACATTCATGAAGGCATTTACACTGGCTGAACCATTCAAAGAAATATCTTTCTTGCTGCTTAGGTTTGTTTTCTCTGAGGTCCTTATTTCATTTGGTATTTTAATAATAACTTACATAAACCTCAGAAAGTCTCCTAGCTCGTGGAGAAATCTCAGGTTGCATTTGAGGGAGAGAGTGCTGCGCTTCCTCCGCCGAGCACTGCCATCTGCACTGCCCGCCTTCTGGGGGCCAGAGTGGAGGGGAGAGCTCCAGAAAACACAAGGGGCTGCACAAAGGAAAGGTATGAACGGCACGGTCAACAGGAGCTATCGAGCTTCATTAATTAAAAGCATTAATAAAAACAAAATATTTAATAGCTGCACAATTAGCCTAACCTACCAGAAAAGCCAAATGCCACCACAAAAAGAATGCGTTGACCTCAGGAAATATGAGGTTAATGGAATGAGTTCAAGCCAATCCTGTCAGATGTCACCCAGAGTTACACAGCTGAAGAAGGCAGCTGAGCAGTATTTTCACCACAGAGCACTGCACCCACGGCCCATTTTCGGGAAGGAGCGGGAGTCTGGGAATATGGGGTTTCCAACATAAAATTACAGCCCTAGCACTTCAGAGTTCAACCACTCAGGTCAGTGATCTTGGAGAACACAATTCTGTTGAGTGTGAAATAACAGCAAGAAAATAAATCCTTCTGAAGGAGACAGGAAGGGAAGTTGGTGTAGACCCAGTGCACAAAAAGGGTGGGGGCTGCATTCTTTTGTGCGTTTTTCTATCATGCAAGTAACCCAGTCAGGGTTCCTCATCTCCAGTGAATTATCCATCAAGCCAAAAGAAACAAACAAAATATTCCCTGCGGTGGGTTCTCAGAGTCTGAAGTAATGAACCAAAACCAGTCAAAAGGAAATCAAGTCTGTTCTGGAAAGCAACAGCCCCTCTGACTTTGAGAGCACGGCCAACAATGACCTCAGAGAGATCAAACTATCAGCTTCTCTTCTGGAATTCCCTTCTGGAACTGTTTGGAGCCAAGATATTTGAGAACCACTGCCAACTGTTCAGGAGTTCAACTTTTCCTAAGGTAACCCAACAACTTTGAGTCCCAGCACCTCATTAAACACGTATACCTCTTGCAAAGTCCCCAGTTACGCTCTCAGGACACAGTTTTCCAAGATCGCTGCCAGCAGGTAGCTCTCTGGGGGTACTCAGAACAGAACATCATTATCAGAGAAGTTATAAATGTGAAACCTGGCCCATCAGCTGGGAAACAGCCCTTAGATAATTCATGGGGAATCAGTGTAAGGAAAGGGAAGCATAATATTATCCAGAACTGGAGATGAAGAAGGGAGCCATCAATTATTAGTTAATTGATCAGAAATAAGGGAAATATTTACAAATCGACTTTCTATCCAATTCCCAATTTCATGTCATGTGAGAAGACACTATTTTTGTTGGCAATCAAGCAAAACAATGTACAAAAGGTTCTTTTGTTTCATTTTCCTGGAGTCATTCAGTTTAATGGGTGAGTTCAGTTTTCTATACCTCTTCAATATCTATTTTATTTCTCCTCCTCTCGGTGTATGAGAGAAAGCAAAGTTTGTCACCCAAACATGCCTTTTGAGATATTAATTATTTTAAGCTGGTTATTTTTAAGAAAAGAAAGGCTGAGGAAAAATCTTTGACCTTCTCCCTAACTGCCTAAAAGAATCCAGAAAGGGAGCTATCATTTCAGATAACTATAGTAGTTTAATATGAACTAGCATGACAGACAGGAAGGAACACAGGAAGGCCATCTGATCAGCCTTCTTTGTGTCCTATTGTTAGGATGGCCCAGCAAACATTTGTTTACCAAACATTTGCTTTTCCATCTCCATGTAGATTACTTTCCTCCCCTTTCAACTCCCAAACCACAACCCACCTAACCCCCTTCTCCTTAGCTCTAGACAGCATATAAGTCTCAACTGCCAGTCTGTCTGGGGGGCCCATATTCTTATGAAGCCCCCATAAGTACATACATAATAAATTTGGTTGTTTTCTCTTGTTAATCTGTCTCATGTCAATTTGATTAGTTCAGCCAGAAGTTCTTAGATGGGTAGAAGGACAATTAATTTTTCAACCTCCTATAGAATACATAAATTTTTTAATGAAAGTAAATTTTATTTCACAACAGAGTTACTTCATTTTGATTCATAAAACAGAATTACCAGGATAAAGAACAGAATTATGTAAATTTAGAATTGGGAGACACAATATAGGTTGGCATTGACAAGTGCATGCTTGTAGGTTTTATATCCACATCATCAAATAAATTCACACAGAGGAAAAAGCTCTACTTTAGAGCTCTATGATTTCATCCTTTGACTCTCAGAGGCATAAAAAATGTAAGCTAAACTAAAAACACGACTTCAGGTACTTACTGATTCCTTGAAAGAGTTCTTCAATATTAATAGCATTTTTTGCACTTGTTTCAACCACAATGGCACCTATGGATTCAGCATATTCCTTCGCATCCTTCAGGGGAACCTCCCTGGAAAAGAGGTGAAACCCAGAGAGAAATAAATGATCTTTTGTAGAATATAAATAACCCCAACAGACCAAACAAAGAACTCATGTGGAAACAGCTCCTTTACTTTCCTGGAGAATATCAACTCCATTGTTCAGCAAATATTAAAAACCTAGTATGAATGAGACTTTTTAAAGTTTAAACGCTAATCTCTGGCATCCATGGAGACAAGATGTGCATATAACATGCTGTCCAGTCCCACAGAAGTAAAGAATTCCAGAACAGTGGGAAAAATCACTATGAATGCATTCCAGTTTTCTGAGGTAGGGTTGATTTCAAATATTTCCCCCATAATAATGACTCAATATTTTTTTAGAATGTGTGTATGCTCATGTGTGCACATGTTTCTATAAGACTATTATATCATTTTTCACTAATCAGAGAAAATACATGACATGATTTTAAAGTTTGGAGATGAAAATGTTATAGCTCCAATAGCTACAATGCAGTATAGCATCTTTGGACTTTGACCTTTAAAGAGCTGTTCCTGCTAAGGTTTTAATGCACGAATTTTATTTAAATGAATACTCTAAATAGACATTTATTGATCTACTTTTCATATAAAGATACTGTGGTGAATCCAAAGTTTAAAAAAATCACAGTTTCTATTCTGCAGAAGTTTATTCATTTATTAAACACATGTTCAATGAACAGCTGTGGTATGCCAGTCCTTTTTGTAGGCACTAGAGAAAACACTAGTCCTTGCCTTCTAAAATCTACATTTGAGAGCAAAAGCCAACACATTCACAGTCACTCTAGTCCACAACACTGTAACATCTGTAATATTAAGATAAGCAGTAGAGGTGTTGAAAATTATGCATTTTGATTAGTGGAACTGAAGAAGATAAAATGGAAGAGGTCACCTGAAATGTGGCCATGCAAAGCAGGGAGGACACAGATGAGAACTATCTGTGTGACAAAGGCACACGTTGAGGGGTGCCCTCATCCCCAGGGACTGTTTGTTGAAAGTTGATCGGCACCCAACCCTGTCTTGGGTGTAATGGTGGATTTACAAATGAATGATATGGTGTCTGAGAGTCCGGCAGGAATTGGGGCAGATGGGCAGGAAAGTACCCAGTGGCCAATGAAGAACAGCAACGGGGTCCGCTAGAAAGCTCCACATTCTAGGAAAACACAGTGCACAAAATGGACTAGAGTGGGGCAGTGAGGAGTAGAATTTGGAAGCTCCTCTAATGCTATAAGACAAGAGAGAACACAAGGCTGGACTGGCAGGGCTACAGGAAAAGAAAAAGGGAAAACGAAAAATCAAAACTGGGAGGGGGTGTGAAGGAACTTTCCATATCTTCCTATTGCCTTCCCTTTCCTCCACCCTCTCCAAATTCCTCAGAAATGGTTACAATTCGTTTATAAAGCTACTGGGAAAATTCTACTTTGGCATTTAAATTCTTTACTATCCCAAATCATACGAGAGGAGAACTTTTCAGGTACTTGCTGGAAAAGGGCCTCACTAGAGCCCACCATATTAAATAAAGACGGCTGAAATCTGTATTTCATAATCTTTCTTACCAAAGACATACTGGGAAAAATTATGCTGCTGAATCTGCCCTCTATATTATTTCTCACAGACAAGCCCCAGGCCTCTCACAGGTATTTTTAAAATCTTAAGTTTTTTGGTGGCAATGAATTTTACATTTGGAACATTCCAGAAAAGAACTTTTCAATGTTCAGTTTGACATGTTATCCCATTTTTAAATTTCTTCTTGGCAGTCTTTGTCAAACCACAGATAGAAGGGTGGTGCTCATCTCTGTCCAAGTGTGGGACAGATAAAACATGTTGTGGCCTACCCATCTCCGCCTGGGGGTTGGGGCACCTGGTGATCAAGGACACGGCAGAGGTGAGAGAAGGTTACATGTACAGTGAAACACTTCCTTAGCTCCCCTCTCATCAGTTCCTTTGTGGGACAAAGAGGAGTAGAAGAGGTTTTGCCAGGATTAAGGTGAAAACAAAGTCACTTGCAACACAATCCATGCTGGGAAGCCAGATGGGCTAATTATCTCACAGTCTACAATGCTGGACCTTGAAATGGAAAGTTAAGAAAAGCATGTTCTCGAGCTTCTCCCACATTTAGAAATGGGTCTTGTTAGATTAATGACAGAGTGAATTGGGGGTGGAGGCAGGGTTGAACCCAAGGCCTCTGGCTCTGCCTACTTTACTCCTGTCAGGCCTTGTCAACACAACCACCCAGCTGCCATCCATATCCAAAGGCCATTCTTTCAATCTTTATAGACAAGGAATATGTGGGCTCAAAATATCCTCAAGTTGCCCTGGCCGGTTTGGCTCAGAGGTAGAGCGTCGGCCTGCGGTCCAGAAAGACCCGGGTTCGGCTCCTGATAAGAACATGTACTCAGTTGCAGTTTGTCCCCAGCCCTGGTTGGGTCAGGGCCGTGTGGGAGGCAGCCACTCGATGTGTCCCTTTCACATAAATGTTTATCTTTCTCTCTCTCCTTCTCTCTCCCTCCCACTCTATCTGAACAAAAAAATGGAAAGTTGTCCTCAAGTAAGAATAAATATATATCTCCTCAAATTGTAATCTGCTGGAGTTGGGGGTAGAGGCAGGGTAGGGGTATATCCTATCCTACTGAAGAACAAGTTCTTACTCTAAGAGTCTAGAGGGCCAGTGTAAGTCCCTCTATAGGAACTGAGATTAGAAGGACCAGCCACTGTCATCTGCCAAAATATGTTTCCACTACTATGGTATAATAAGAAATATGTATGTGGTCTTGGTCCCTGGCTCTTGGAGTTTCCTGAGTTATAGATGTGTCTTCTGTTATTCATCAAGAGCCTGATTAGACCAGACTGAGTTTCTGATAGGGAGGGGTTCCTAGATAGCTTCAGGATGGGGGCTGGTCACCTGAGGAAACAATCACAAGATTAGAGGGTTAGAACTTTCAGCCCCACTCCCCAACCTTTGGGAAAATGGGGTGGGGCTGGAGATTTAATCCATCATGCATGACTAACTAACGAAGTTTGAATAAACACTCTTAATTTAAACACAGGGCTTGGAGAACTTCAGATTGGTGAAGGTGCTAGAAAGGCAGCAGGCCCAGCAAGGCATGGAAGCTCTACGCCCTGCCCACATACCTTGTCTTATGAATCTCTTCCATCTGGCTGACTCTGAGCTACGTACTTCTCCTTTTTTTTTTTTTTTAACTTGCTGATATCTTTATTTTTATTATTATTAATATATTTTTTTCTATCCTTACCCAAGGACATTTTTCCATTTTTTGTTCAGACAGAGCAGGAGGGGGAGAGAGAAAGAGAAACATCAATGTGAAAGGGACACATGGAGTGCCTGCCACCCGCACTACACAACCAGGGCCGGGGACAAACTGCAACCAAGGTACGTGCCCTTAGCAGGAACCGAACCCGGGTCTCCCTGGACTGCAGGCCGACGCTCTAACCGCTGAGCCAAACTGGCCAGGGCCTGATATCTTTATTAATTCTTTAATTTTCTCCTTCTCTTTACAGTCAAATTTATTCAAAGGGAAGTTAATTCTTACTGCTTCATTATTCCTTAACCCTTGATAATCTAGATAATTTTCCTTAATTCTACAAAAATTGCACACACAAAAAAGGCCCTTAGAGAAAGTATTATTTTTCAATGAATAACATACCTAATACAAACATAATGTGCACTAATCGTAAGTGTGTAGTTAGGTGCTCTGAGTTGTATCCTTTACAGGAAAACTGTAATCACAAGTCTATTGGCATAGGAACCCCCCAACTTTGTAGTTGGTCAGAACAGTGAGGGTAACTTCAGGGTTCTCAAGAATTGCAGCTGGCATCTAAAGTGGGGGGCAGTCTTGTGGGACGGAGTCCTTAATTTGTGGGGTTTGTGCTAATTTAGGGTAGTTAGTGTCAGAATTTAATTGAATTGCAGGATACCCAGTGGTATCAGAAAATTGTTGTTGGAACAAACTGTGCAACTACAAGCTGAAAGAAGACCCTTAGAAAGGTGAGAACGGCCCAGCCAGTGTGGCTCGGTGGATTGAGCATTGTCCCATAGACTGAAAGGTCCCAGTTTGATTCCTGGTCAGGGCACATGCCTGGGGTTGCACGTTCAATCCCAGTAGGGAACATGCAGGAGGCACCAATTGGTGTTTCTTACATCAATGTTTCTCTCTCTCCCTTCCTCTCGCTCTAAAAAAAAAATCAATAAAAACATTTTTTAAAAAAAGAAAGGCGAGAATGTAAAATTCCTTGGAGCCTCACTCAGATATGTAAAATAGTGATCTGGGAAGTCCTCCAGCTGCTTTTCAGGAGAGGCCCACTGCACAGACCCATGAAGCTGGACGGTTGCCATCACTGGCCTTCTGTAATTATTACGACATGAGAGTATGGCATCCATTGACTTCATTCATTTTCTTTTCAACAGCTATTTATTAAGTGTCTGATATATGCTGGACACTGTGGTAGGCATTGAAACGGGTAAACTGAAACCTGCCAAGGTATAAATACACAGTCAATTTTGATGAAAAAGACTATTTTTAGACTTTGTAGACTAAACTATGTATAGAACTTCAGGACTCCCAGAAATCATCCTGAATAGTTCCTGTAAACTAGTCAGGAAAAGTAAACTTGGATTTCTACTCTCTGTAGTTCAACAGGTAGGGGAAGGGGTGCTGTCCGTGCGCTCAAGGTGGAGAGACCCATCGTCTTTCTCAAGCCACACAGTTTAGTCACTGACCAGCTGTCTGCCCAAAGGCCCTCCAGAGAACAGAAGGCCCCTCAAAGTCACTTCTTGGTGTACCAGACCTGAGCATGGCTGAGTGGCCTCTCCAGCAGTCACAGACTGGAGCAAACTTCCCAGGCTAGTGTTGTAACAATAGGAGAGCTCCTTCTCTGGGATGGTGTAATCTGAGTCTCCCAGGTGCACAGAATCCCCACTGATTCCCACTGCCTGATGCTATGTGGGTTCCCCTTCCCATCTCTGCTGCTCTGG